TTATAAGAAAAGCTTACTGTAGAGCAGTCGGCCACTATGTTACACCATGACTCTTGTCGTTACTCTTTTCCCTTTGCTTGAATAATCTCATTTTGTTTGTTGTGACCCTCTGAGTAATAGGCTATACCATAAATGTATAGATACACTTATTCGTGTATACTCCCCGTGTGCTGTAGGTGTACAGTAGACTATACCATCTGGTTTGTGTAAGTATGCCCCTGATGTTTGCACAATGGCAAAATTACCCAATGATGGATTTCTCAGAATGCACCCCGTTGCTAGGCAACTTGTGGACGTGCTTGCTTAAGTGTTTATTGCCAGGTTCTGGGAGAGAGGTTCCTTGTCTGACTTTTCGTGGCTATAGACCTGGTGCACAGAGCAAGTGCTCAGCTCATGGATAATCTGTGTTTAGGGTCCTTCTAAAAGACAAATCCAATTGAGTCACTTCCCCACTGCAAACTTGATCATGGCTGCACAGTGCTCAGAAGTTCATTACCAAGATCACACACTGGGGCAAGACCAGCACCCCCAGCTCATTTCTGGGTGGCCTCCTCCTGGCTCTCTCCAGTCCATTGCAGGGTCCCCAGTGAGCCCTGCCCTCTCCCTACCCCCAGGCCTTTGTCCTGGGGGCTCCCTCTGCCTGGAGCATTCTCCCTCCCTGTCTCTCTCTCCCTCTTATTTTTGGCAACTGTAGGACCCCTGCATCTAATATAGAATTCTAGTCTTTCACATTTCCTGCTGCCTTTAGCTCATATATATATGAGCCCACTCTGTTCTGTGGAGGCACAAAAGATACTCCACCTTTCAACAAATCTAAAGTTTTCATTTCACCACTTCATTATTTGCTTTGACCTTGTGTTTTGGACACTGCTTGCTTTTTGGGAGGCAGATTTTCACTAAATGATAGGCCGATCACAGGAGGATTTAAACATGAGGATTGTGACACAGAGCTGACTGAGCTTCTCCACATCCACCGAGCCTTGTAATGCACATGCGGGAATTTAAAATTCTGTCTTAGAAACTGATGTTTATTTATTTTTAACCAAGCTTGGTGAAAACCTTGTAGGAAGCAGAGATCAGGAAGACGGTGGTTCAAAGCCAGCCTGGGCAAATCACAAGACCCTATCTTGAAAATACCCATCATGAAAAAAGCGCTGGCGGAGTGCCTCAAGTGGTAGAGCACCTGCCTAGCAAGCATGAAGTCATGAGTTCAAATCCCAGTGTCGCCGCACCCCCCCCCCCCGCAAATGTAATAAATCAGCAAATAAATGTAGTAGGGTCTGCAGCTTAAAAGTAGCAATTCTCCATGTGTCCAACAGATGTCTCTGTGTTCAGCTCGAAAATTAAAACCTCAGTTATTCCAAAACTTACCTGCTGTGGGTTCATTTTTTTTGGTGATACTGGGGTTTGAACTCAAGGCCTCATGCTTTGTAAGCAGGTGCTCTACTGCTTGAGCCACATCTCAAGTCCCAGGAACTCATATTTTTAAAGACCTACTATGTGTCAGGCCCATCATAAGGTCTTAGTGTAGATTTATCATTCAATATTAAATAATTATATGATGTAGGTGGTGGGGTTTTACCAATTTTCCTGACATGGCCATCGAGCCTGTGAGAAGTTACCAGTCCTGTCCAAATGTTCCTGAAGATACACAACCCTCAGCATAAGGTTGGTGAGGGTTCCCTATTTGTTGGGAGAAATGTGAAATTGATGTTAGTTTTAAGTACATTGCCGGACATGATGGTGCATACCTGTAATCCCAGCACTCAGGAGGTGGAGGTAGGAGGATCACGAGTTCAAGGCCAGTTTCAGCTCCATAACAAGAACCTGTCTCAAACCCCCTCCCCGGGTTTTTAAAAGCTAGATCTATGCCGCCTCACTTTTAGAAAGATAAAATCCACATGCTTTGTCATCAATAGAGCTAGGAAGCTGTGCAGATAGATGTTCTAGAAGAAATGTCTCTGGCCGGGTGCCGGTGGCTCACACCTGTAATCCTAGCTACTCAGAAGGCAGAGATCAGGAGGATGGAGATTCAAGGCCAGTCTGGGCAAATAGTTCATGAGACCCTATCTCGAAAAAACCTATCACAAAAAAGAACTGGTAGAGTGGTTCAAGGGGTAGGCCCTGAGTCCAATCCCCAGTACCGCAAAAAAAAAAAAAAAAAAAAAAAGAAAGAAATGTCTCTGTCCCCAAACTGTGCAAATTTGCTATTTAATGTCACCTCTGTGATGGATTATTCATTCTTGCCCCTGGAGAAATTCTGATCTCCCTCTCTCCTCACCCGTCCATTGTCTTAAAGGGATGCAATACTTTCTTTGGTAAAACACTCAAAATTATGGGCCATTTCAACCCAGAAATAGAAGAGTGAGGAAGGAGCTACAGTGTAGGATGAAGGTTGAGATCACTCACCCAAGATGTCGAACGCAGGCAGGACATCAAACTCCACCTCCTTCTGGAGCCAAAGCTGAGTGCTCGGGGTTGAACCATGATTGGCTCTGGAACTTGAAGCTTACACCAAGCCATCTCTCTCTTTGACATGCTTCCAGCTGGCTCCTGACTTCTGTGATGAATTCTCCCCGGCGTAGCCTCTGCTCCTCAAAACTGGTAAGATTTGTGAGGAAGACAACCAGGTCAGCATCAGAGCAGCTTCTGAGGGTTGTGCCTTTGCCTGAGGAACCATCCTAAACAATGACAAGAATAGCAGCTTAGTGGGTGGGACACTGACACTGGGAGGAACCTTCCATATGAAGTACTGGGAGCAATCACTAACATTCTTCTCCAGCAAGACACTCGGTCCTCAGAGGGCTACAAGTCTTTGTGTCTGCAATGCACACCTGGCTAAGTTAAGTGCTGCAATGTAAGTTCCCACTGTACAGACCGGAATGAATGCTCAGTGAAGTTCACCAGTCCACTACCTTGTTCCAGAGTCTCTGTTCTGTACTCTCTGTCTTTTGCTATCTTGTGTTACTATTATTTTTATTTTTGGCAGTACTGGGGTTTGAACTCAGGACTTCATGCTTGCTAAGTAAGTGCTCTACTGCTTGAGCCACGCCTCCAGCCCTTTTTGATTCAGTTTATTTTTCAGGTAGCATCTTAAATTTTTGCCCAGGGTTAGCCCCAGACATCAGTCTTCCTACCTAGGGCCTTCTACCCAGCTGGGATTACAGATGTGAACATCAAACCTGGCTTATTGGTTGAGATTGGGGTCTCAATAACTTTTTTTCCCAGACTGGCCTCAAAATGTGATCTTCCCAATCTGTGCCTCCTGTATAGCTGGGATTCCAAGCATGAGCCAATTAGAAATTATCCTTGGGGAGTCTCTGGCACAGAGAAATTAAGTAACTTGCTCAAGGTTTCACAGCAAGTCAATGCCATTGCTTTCAAAACTTTCAAAACTTACGACTCTTAACTAGCTCACAAGACTGAAGAAACCCCAGCCTGGCTATCATCAGCACATCATTTACCACAGTAGGGCCTCAGTTTCCCTTTCTGTGAAATGGTGGTGGATCATAAACTTTACCTAAGATACTTCTTAACAATCCAAATGTAAGACCTCACGCAGAGCTGATTTGTAACAAGCTTGGTTATGTCTGTGATGTGGACAGATCAGACACCCCCAGCCCCAAAGATCTCAATCCCCACCCCTCAGATTAATAGCCTGAGCTCTGAGAGACTTTTGCCCACTCAGTGCCCCCTGCCCAGACAGGCAGGAGCAGCCTCACCTTCACCACTTCTGACACCCACACAGGGTGGGTGGCCCCTTGGAAACACCTTTCTTTCAGAAACTTGCAAATGATTTGGATGGTTGCTTTGACCTGCTTGTGGAGCTCAGTGTCTGGCAGGAGGTGGTCTTCAATGAATTTGTCTAGCTCCGTGGCCCTGGTTTTTCTGAGCTCCATCCTCAGTAGGACAAGAGAGTAGGACTGTCTTGGGGACCTGCTAGCTCTTATGTCTTCAGCTGGCTGAGCCTGGGCTGTGCTGGCTTCCTGGTTTCCTGGGAAGGGAGAAGATGTGGCCTGTCCCCGCCCCACCCCACAACTTCCTCTTGGTCACCTGCTCCCTGCTTCCTGAAACTTCCTCTGTCCTTTCACAACCAGACCGGCCTGTTGCTTTTTAACACCTCCCCCTGACCCTGAACTAAGAGGACTCATACTAAAACCAGATTTGGGGTTTCCTCCTTGGGCTTTCTTTGTTGTTGAAAAAATTGTTGCATAGTCTTCTGTGATTTTTAATAGGAATGCATGCAGACTGCAAAAAGAAAAAAGTCAGAAAAAAATCAGAAGTATGAAGATCATCTATGATCTGAAACTCCAAACTACTCACCATTGCAGACACCATGGCACAGAGATTTTTCAGCTGTGGACACACAGACACATGGATATGGACACAGTTCTCCTTTCTTTTTAAGAAATAATACCATAATATATTTTTCTCTTTTCATGATGGATTTCACTTCATATAGCAGTTTCAGGTTTACAGAACAATTGAACAAAAAGCTCAGAGCTCCTATAAGCCCCCTCTCCTTCCTCTTACGCATAATTCCTTCCATTCTCTTTATCCCCCTACCCACCACCACACACATACTAGGGAATGAGCTCGCAGCCTCAAATATACCAAGCACACACGGTACCACTCCAAAACCCAACCAACCAACCAAAGCAAACCCCCACCAAATTCTTTGAAAGATACAATACAGGAGAATTTTATAAGTCACACCTCTAATCCCAGCACACTGAGGCTGAGGCCAGCCTGGGCTACATAGGGAGACCCTGTCTCACAAAATGTGAATCCCTGCACAGAACAAGCCAAGAGTGAGACGAGGAAGCTGGAAAAGATTGAGGGAAGAACTGGAAGTTTTAGTTTCACTCAGGGTTAAGGCTTCATGCCCTTCAGGTGGCTTTAAGTTATCATTGATAGAACAATAATGTCACCATTTTGTGAACCAGCCAAAATGGCAGCCCCGCCCTTAAACAAATTCCCATGCTCTAAGACAGCCCCACCCCATCAGAGACTACTGCACCTGTACTAACTTCCTTACCCTCCCCCTTCTATAAAAGCCACTGCTCCCCCAGACTCGGGGCTGTGTCATCTTTTCCCCAGCCAGCCTGGCAGTTTGGGCCTGCCATTAAACCTTGCTCTATGGACATGAGTTTTCTCGTGAGCTTTCTTTGAGAGCGGCGTTTTTCCTAACATTTGGTGCTGAGACTCGGGATTGAGTTGAGTTCCTGGCACTGACCTTGCTCTCCCAGCTTTCCTCCGGGATCTGAGCTGCTTTACTGGGACCCCCATCCTAGAAAGTGCCAACTCTCTCTATAGCTCACAGGGAAGGTCCTCCACCCCAGCGCGCCTCCAACCACCATCCACCACTGGCCAATCTTCCCTTAAGGTCTGCTCTCCCTTGGTGAGTCCTCCTCGCCTGCTGAGCTGTGGTCCCCCTGTGGTGAAGACGTTCCCTCTGGGGGTTGTGTTCCACATTTCCCTCTCTCTCCTGAGGACCTGATATTTCGGGGACGCCCGCCATATCTCTCCTCAGGTCAGGCCGTCACCATGGGAGTTGGACCTTCCAAATTCCTTCAGACTCCCCAATGGGATGTCTCCTGGCCAACCTCGGGCCCCTCTGCCTAACACCTGATCTTAAGCCACGAAAGCTCACTTTTCTCTGTAATCAGGCCTGGCCCCAATATCCATTGGAAAATGCCTCCAAATGGCCATTTAATGACATTTTTGATCCCAATATTTTAAGGGATTTATGCAAGCTCTGTGAGCGGGCTGGTAAATGGAAGGAACTTTCCTATGTCCAATCCTTTCCCTATCTGTGCATCAAACCCTCCCTCTGTACTTCCTGTTCCCCTGCGCAGAGTCTATCAGCCTGTAAACCAGTTTCTAAATCAGCCAATTCCTCTCCCAAACCTCCTCCTTCCGCATGTAAACAGACTTCTTGCACTGCTTACCATACCTATCTCCTCCTATCTTCCTGAAAAACTTTCCCCATCATGGAGTTAAGCAAGCCACTCTTTGCCAATTCTGGCCTCAAGGTGGTTCCAGCTCTGGGAGAGCTCATGCTCCCTTCTTGTGGGCTGCTTTATTCGGGTACACTTCATGTCACACTGGTGGAGTCCTGTTTGATTATGGCATCTGACGATTGCTTCTCTTCCCACCCCCTCCATCTAATGTCTGTTTTTCCTGAAACAGAGACTGGAGAGTGGAGGTTTCGTTTTGCTGAAAGCCTGCCAGTACCAATCAATGGGAGCAACCCATTAGGTGATGGTTAATCCCATAAGCGTGTGTCATGCCTCCAGGCTCTGCCTTCCCCTCCCTTACCTAAGATGTCAGCTCACATTTTCTGCCTCCTCCATGGTCTCACCACATGTTCTCTGTCTCTATCTGCCTTCCCCTCCCTGGGCTTACTGGGACCCTTCCTCCTGTGAAAAACCTGTAGCATGGTACTGTATGACTTAAGTTATTCCAACTAGTTTGCCAGGCCTCAGTCTAAAGTAACTTTAAGTCAGCTGCTTTACAAAAGCGCTTGCAAAAATCCTGCAGCTGCCATGCTTACGCTGCAACTCCACCTCCACAAGGGGAGGAGGGAAAGCAAACAGGCGCACCTGTGCACAGGATGCCGGCTTCTGGACACAGCAAAAATGACTGCCATAGCTAAGAAAATCCATAGAGAGGACCCAGTACATCCTGGGCTCCAGTCACACATGGTGATGGCTGTGGCCCGCCACCACTTCCCCTAGAATAAACGCACGCAGAGTACACAGGAAGGGGGGAGGGGCGACAGACTGCAGTACCAGGCCTAAGCAGTCAGGGTCATTTGTCCCAGGTGTGTGTGGAGGGAGTGGCACCTTGCACAAGTCCTGCTCCTAGCCCCACCTCACACCTCAGGGCATCAGACCCTTGTAAGTCAACTGTTAGCTCAAGGTTATAGTTCCAGAAATAACAAAATAGACATTACTGTGGTCTCTAAATTTCTCATTTAGAATTTTCTATACCTTTGGCCTCAGCATAAATTTCTCCCTCCAAATATTAACACTAGTTGTCCCATATGATACTGTTATTGGCCTGAAATGCCCTCTGAATGCCCTTCTCTAACTTTACAAAGGATTTCTTTCCTTGTTAAAAAGGTAGCTCTTTATTAAAGAGGCTGCCTGCTGTTAGCTAAAAAACAGGATCCTTAACGTTTTGTTCTTTCTAGATGGGACCTGTGTCTTCCAGTCTTCTGGCTGGTAGATGCTGGAAGCTTTGTACTGAGGCCTGGCCTCAGTATGCCTTGGGTGACCAAGAGAAGTGACCTTCACAGGGTTCCTTAAATTACAATACTATACTCAAATTAGACCTTTTATATAAGAGTAAAAAAAGTAAACTGAGTCCCCTATGCAAATTTCTACCCTCTAAGCCACCCCAATACTCAGAACCTCTAAATGAGTGCTTCCCTCTTCAACAAGCAATGGTAGGAAGAGGGCAAATCGTATGTCCCCTTCCAGTTATCAGATCTAAGGGAAAATTAAAAACATCTAAACAGCTGTACTGATGCCCAGACAAATACATTCAAGCCTTTATCTCTGTGATCCAAATCTTTCAACTGACATGAAAGGATATTATGCTTCTACTAGACCAGACTCTTATCTCATTAGAGAAGCAATGGGTTCGGGCCCAGGCCACTCAGGTTGGAAATGATTATAAGGTCAAGCAGTAGAGTGCCGCTTTACAAGCAGAAAGTCCTGAATTCACGCCCAGTACAGCCAATGGAAAAAAAAATAATATTTGGGGCTGAGGAAGTAGCTCAATGGGAGGATGTCTGCCTAGCATGTGCAAAGCCCTGGGTTCAATTCTCCAGCATTACTAAACAAAATTTAAAAATGGTAAAGAAGATAAGTGGCATTAATGTCACTCAGCCATCTCATAGTAGAAAAACGTAGTTTAACCTAGACCAGATCCCTCATTCTTCAAGCGAGGAAACTGAGGCCCAGAACAGTTCAGAGACTTGCTCTCCAGAGTGTCAGGTGTCAAGGTAAAATAACAACTTTACAGCAACAACTTAAAAAAAAAAAAGAAAAAATCCTCTTACCTTTCTACAGCATCTTAAGGACGCTATCAGAAAGCATACCACAGTGGACTCAGAGTCACAGGTGAGAGAGGTTCTCCTCAAAGATAAATTTCTAACAGTCAGCCCCAGATAGTCATAAAAACTCAGACTGTGGCTGAAGGGAAAAGTCACTGAACCAAGTACTACAGCTAGCCATGTCTGTATTTATGGCCATGTCTGTATGTCCGGGACCTTACTAACAGGAGAGAAAAAGATAAGAGACACCATGGCCTCATTGCTGCTCTCAGAGAGGCCCCACCCAACTGGGGCCTGTATCCTGAACTTGCTACCGTGGTGGACAGGAGGGGCACTTCTGCAGAGAATGCTTAAGGAGGGACAGCCCGGGAGACAGCCCCGCCCCCAACCGGGACCCTGCCCTCTGCAAGGGTAACCACTGGAGGTCTAAGTGCCCCCCGCCTCCAGATGGAAGGTGAGGTGCTACCTCCTATAGATTGATGGGTCCCAGACTCCTGTCCACACTCCACTTCTTGGCATCAATGTTGAGGAGCCATAATGGCAGAAAAACAAAAGGCCATTTTCCTCCTAGACAGTGGAGCCCATCTCTCTGTTTTACCTTTTTTTCCTGATCCCCAGTCCAATGACAAAAGTTATCGTTTGGGGCAAATCTGGCCAGCCCCTAGAGTGCTAGTTTATCTGGGGTAATGCAAATGTAGGCCCAAAGTGACCATGTGGAGAGGAGTGATCTGGCCATGAGATTCTTTATTGCCGGGTGGGAGAGAGAGAGAGCCGAGAGAGAGAGAGAGAGAGAGAGAGAGAGAGAGAGAGAGAGAGAGGTGCAGGGGCTTAAATACCCCTCAGTGAGACTCGGCATGATCTGATTGGTTAGGATCTTATGGTTCATGCTGATT